TCTGGAAAGAGTATGTGTTTGTAGCTTTTTAATAAACTCTTACTAAAAACAAGTGGGAGTATATTAGCAAGCCCCACATCATGTATGTGTGGGGGTGAGAGAAAGAGGAGGAAGGGAGTGGTTAATTTACGACAGTACAAGTCAAAATCACTCTTACATAAGCTTATCACTAACTTCATTGTTGGATTGAAAGTTTTTGTCATATAGACCTATAGACTAATATACAAAATCTTACATTAATTGACTATTTAGTATTTCTTTGATATATATGTAAACTAATGTGATATATACCTTTGAAATATATGAAAGTAATAATATTTGATTATATTATTATTCAATTTTAATTTTTCACCAACAGCCAAGGTAATATATAGTTACAGTTCAATTCTATTTAAATATAAAGTTCTTTATTGGTGTCAAAGTGTTGAGTCTTAAGCTAATGCAAACTGACCCCTCCTTTCTGTGTATGTGTGTGTCAAGGGATCAGTTTATACTAGCATAATCCATTCTTACATCATCAATAACTTTATATAGAATGCTAGCTTTATTTATTTAACTATTGAATTATAAACTATCCAGCCTCTCTCTTTCTACACACACATATTAAAACTAATAAACTATCCAGAAAGCTACCTCATGTCAGCATTTTGTGATCTGTTTACCCTCCAAATTGCATTTTGGATATTTGTATGAATAATAGGTATGTATTTTGGTTGTTTATTTGTGGTTTTTCCATGCTTAGCAGAGTCTCATTGTTCTAGTTGCAGTTAAAACTAATAAAAACCTACATGTGAGCATAGCCCATCAATCAATTTAGATTTTTTTTAGAAGTGGATTTAACCTCTCTCCCTCATGTGCCATGAGCAGTATTTGCAGAATTATCCCCCTGCCCCTCCAGCTAACAATCATAGAGATGCTTAGGAACTAAATCACCTTTATCCAAAAATGCAACTCATTATTTTTCACATGTTTTTAATGCAGTTAATACCTTACATTGTGTTCTATTTGTTCATATTAGAATTGCTATCTGCCAACAATTTTTTATGGTAATGTCTTTATGATATACATTCTCCTAGGACAAGTATGGATTTCAAGGTAGGTATTCCAATAAAGGTCAACCAAAGTCTGGTCAGCGATCTGATGGAAAACCACAGAAGAAAACTAAACGTGAGTTCCTTTTAGTTTACATTTATGGTTTGTTCTTTCATTTTGTTTAATTCCCTTACCCATCCTCAGTCACTTGCCTGTTCTGGTTAGAATTTCTTGTTCAGGAGATAAGTTAAGGACCTGGTAGCAAATTATTATGAGGAAATACATAGAACCCTGTGAGATTTTGAAATATTACAAATACACCTGGTAATGGAAACCTCTCGTTATAAATTTTAATATGAAAAAGCCACCCCTAGTTTCTTAGTCAAAGATTGCATTTCTTGTTTACCCCATTTTGAGTTATATTGTTAATATTTTAAATCTTGGTAAATATATGTATTCCACCCAATTATTTTTAATGAATGTTTTTGAAGTTAGGAAAGTACACTTTTCCAGCAATAAGTGTTGTCATTATAGTTAAAAAATTTATAATGTTTTGGCACACGTGTAGTCTTTACAATTTTTAAGGTTGACATACAAATAATCAGAGCATGCATTGAAAGATGTTTTGCTATGCCATCTGGGACTTCCGTGTCCAACTGAATGTTTCTTTAAATTAACACTTGCTTACTTTCCTAACCACTGATCTCCATTATATGTTCAGGAAAAATCAGAAGAGAAGGTTTTTCTGAGGACTTTGATGGCCATCCTGAGCAAATATTCGAGGCAACATTTGGTAACAGATGTTATACCTGGTCCTTTAACAATTGGAGGGGTTCTTCTTCCGAACATTCCACATCTGGGTTTGAATGGAGGGAACATTCAAATACATCAAACAAGTGGAAAAATGAAAGTGATGTTGAGGATGACGATGATGCTTCATGTTGTGTAGGATCAAGTTCTGATAGAACTATTCTTGGTCTGCCTCCAACAGGTCCATTAAAGATCGAAGATGTTAAAAATGCGTAAGTGCTTTAGGGTTTCTGTTCAGAGCAAGGTCTTGTAGCAGACATAAAACATAATATATACATTATAAACTGCTGATATCTGTTTATTTCCCATGTAGTTTCCGGTTATCAGCTTTAAAATGGCATCCTGATAAGCATCAAGGCCCTTCCCAGGTGAGTTTTAACTATTTGTTTGACCATTTTGTATCTTTAATACATGTTATAAACTTGGAATTGAAAGGAGAATTATGCATGACAACTTCATGTGTTAGGTTAGCAGTAAACCCACCCTACTCAAAACTCAATATTGGCTCCAAACTGTCTAGTTGAGTGTGGGCGTAAAGAATGATCCATCCTGAACTACCATTGATATCTGCCCTCTTGATGAATATATTTTAGGCACAAAAGTAGTTGCCATGTACTGTGAAATGGGCATTTTATACCATCTACATTTGTACAACATTTATGAACGATGAATAAAGTATAAACAGTCATCTGTCACTCTGATAAAGGGTGCACCAGTGGTCCTACTAATATCTGCCACTGATTAAAATGAGTAAATGACTTATGCATTGATGGTTAATATTCGCTAGCTGTAATTTGTGAGTGGGTTATTCTTAAAAATTGATATTTATAAAAACTAGAAAGTCTACCAAAAAAATGGAAATTGTTTACCATCCCTTTCAAGAAAAAACAATAGGAAAAAAATGTTAAGGAACAGATGCTCTGATGGATTTCTGAGCAAACAGGTATTGTGGATCTCTGTTTAGAGTGTGGTGGAGGGGTGGTGCGACTACAGGGAACAATTTTCAGGTGATGGGGTTTGGTTCGTTGGCTCTGATCTGGAAGGACTAAATGGTTTATACAGGTGGAGCAGATAGGTGGTGGACTTGTGGTAGTTGTAATGAGGAGGTTTCATGTTTGTGGTGAGTTCTAGGTTCAGGTACTACATTTGGGTGCCAGCTTTTGGAGATTGGTGGTGTTGCTCGGACAACATTTCTGGGTAGGTAGTGGCTTGGAGGTGATGTGTTGCTACATAGTATCTGTCTTGATTCCTTATTTGGTCTGGTATATCATGTGGTTTAGGATTCTCAAAAGAGAGATTGCGCTTAGTTGCAGAAAAGGTTGGGACGATGAGTTTAGATCTGCTTGTATGTATCATGCAACGATGAGTTTAGAGTAAGTATATATGTGCATTGTTTATTAAGAAACAAACAAGATTGAAATCTATTGTTTGAATCCAGCATAAAACATGAAAATAGAGTAGTTCATGTTCATTTTTACCGGTTTTCCATCAATTCTAGGCAGCTCTGATGGTTGATGGCTTTCGCTGTTTGCAAAGGGATAAAAATGGAAATTTATTTCAATATAAATAGGATGAATGAGTTAACATGAAGGTTATACTCTGAATTATATATACATATATATATATATATATATATATATATAATCAGGTGTTTTAAGGTGCACCGTAAAAGTTACCTTTGTGTTTGTCTTAATCTTCATTGGTTATGTGCTATCAGTCTTATGTTTGCACTTTACCTTTTATGTGATGACAGGCAATGGCTGAAGAAAAATTCAAACTGTGTGCAAGTGCATACAAAACATTATGCAATGCTCTCTCCCCATCTTAGGTGTCCGTTTGGTTTGGTGCAGTATCCAAGTCGGTAAAGATATCCATCGCAATTGATCAATGTTGTACGATTCATTTTATTCTTTTGTTAGCATTTAATTCAAAATAAGGCCAAGTTTGCAACATTGAATGTTGTTCCATTAGTGCTCACTGACTGGAAGAGGAGTTAACAATTGTTCGGTCAGAGAAAGTAGTTTTCTAGAGAAAAATTTAATTCCCCCCAAACCAACACTCGGGATGCTCCCTTTATGATCATGATTCTTTTTTAGACAAACCAAATCAGCCATCTTATGCGAACTTGTTAACAGAATGGAATGCAAATTGATTTTATTATTTTCAATGAAATTGAAGTCGATTACTCTATAATCCCATGTATTTTCTGTTTTTAGAATTTAACTAGTTATATTGACATTAAATATGACCTGTCATGTATGGTGAAATTGTTGACTTTTGAAAGGTAAAGCGATTCGTCGTAGCTTTTAAAAAGTAAAAGTGGTTTCATTATTATTTTTTTTCTCTTTTACATCACTCACAAGAAATCAAATTCAAAGAGAAGAAGGGTGTGTTTGCATTTGCGTTGAAACGTGAAAAAATCACGTTTAACCGAAACAATGAACAATAATTTTAACATAAAATCATGCTGGACGTGGAAAGAGAATGTGTAGAAAAGTATTTTCAAACACTTTCAAACACACGAAAATCTTTCCTATCTTTATAAAAAAATTCAAAAAGAAGAAGAATCCACCAAAAGAAACAGAAAGTTGGCCTCATCTATAGCTAGTTTCGTTGCGCTAGTTTGGCAAAAGACAAGCACAGAAAAGCTATTTTTGACGATGTTTGAAGGCAACAAAAGAGAGCTCGCAAGATGGTCTGAAGTGATTAACAAACCCGGCGGCGTGATTCCCTTTTTGGTAGTATCTGTTGGTAAAATAAGTGGAAAAAACGATTCTTGAGAGCAAAGTGTGATCCTTGGAAGTAAATACAAAAATTAGTTGGAAGCTGCGTGATATGGATTATGCGTGGATTCAATGCGGCACGTATCTCTCCCATAGAAGCTGATTCAACGCGTTTTGAAACGTGAATAGATAACAGAATATACTTAGTCTTAGGGTACCATAAAGCAGGCACATAGGGTACTTTTGAGTGTTAGTTGGCAAATAAAAGCAAAAGAATCACAATGACGAGAAATGGGAATCGATTTGACGAAAGTGGAAATGAATAAGAAAATAGAAAATAGAAAATAGAAAATTAAAAACAAAGAAGAACGACAGAGGAAGAAATCATGAAGCCGTAGATGAAGATCAAGAAGCCGAAATGAAGGGCCCAATTCCTCTTAAACTTTCCGAAATAGGACTCAGGGGGTTCCTGGTAGTGAATCTCGAAGTCTTCGTCGGCGAGGGCGTCGTAGTCGGCGGCGGAGAGCCTGATCTTGATCTCCCGGAGCTTCTCGGTGGCGAGGCCGAGGGTGAGCTTGTGGCAGCGGCGCTGGTACTTGAAGGCGTTGATGCACCTTAGGGTTTGGGCGACGGAGACGTAGAAGATGAGGTGGGCCATGGAGAGGAGGGTGATGGGGATCCAGCAGTGGCGGCATTGGAGGCGGGAGGAGTGGGCCTGGGCCAGGAAGACGAGGCCCAGGAAGATGAAGAATATCTGGAAGAGCTTGTGCAGCTCCTTCTTCTGGAGGTCGATGGCGCGCTTCTTCTCCAGGGTCTTCTCGAAATGGAGCTGAATGATGGTGTTGAGGGCCTGGAACGCTGTTTCCTTCGACACCGTTTGTTGCTGTTGGTGATGGTGCTGGCTTTCGTACTCTGCCATGGTTAGCTACCTGTGTTTCGCTTCCTCTTCCTCTTCCTCTTGTCTTTGTCTTTGTCCCGACAAGAACGTTGGCACATTGTTGGGCAGGTTATTAATTATTATTGCTAGTTGCTACCCAAACAGTCATGTTAGTAACTTGCCTCAGTAATTATCGCAACCTCCAATCCAATCAAATTTAATACTAGTCGTACTAAACTTTATTTCCTAATTCGTTTTCTTAAATAATAAAAAATTGAGAATGTTTAAAAGAATTTAATTCATTAGAATTTTGTATTACGTGAGGGTTTTTGGGGGTGGTTGGTGGGAACAGTGCATGTTACTCTCGAATGAAAAGCAATCTCCATAGAATTTAAATAATGTATCATCAAACCTTTCGCCTTTTGCTCTTCGACGTCATTGTTTCTTCTTTTGTTCCGTTTCAGTTGGAAATCCACAATTTTATTTGTATTTTGATTGATTTTCTTTTGAAATATATCCATGTTGAGAAGAAAAACAAAATAGAAAGGGGAGGAATGGAGGATGATGAAAAAAAAGTGACAAAAAATGTCTTTCTCAGAAACCATCTTGGACGATAGCCAAGGTTGACTGAACAAGAGGGGTAAAGGTAAGTTGGAAAAAGGAGAGAAAGTGAGGGGAAAAAATAATAAATAAATAAAATATATGTAGTTTATAATAAATTTTGGATGTAATTTTAAAATGTTCAAAGTCAAAATTTTAGTGAAAACTTTATATATAGTTTTGAAGGATTTAATCAAATGAGAATGAGTTTGAAAAGGAGAAAAAAAAATTGAATTCTTTTTACTTTGGGTGAAATTTAATAATTACTATGTAATTGGCTAATTTTGAGTAAAAATAAGTTTAAAGTAACCCTTGAGTATGTGAATTAATTAACATGAGATTATTTTAATTTCTCAATGATAATATATATCTGGTTTAAATTCTAGGTATATAGTTGCAAAAACATTTGAAAGAAAAGTTTTATTTGCATGAAGTGGTCTTATCCAACCCAAATAAAATTTTCTTCTATAAAGGATATATCTAATATGTAAATAAAATAAAATAAAATAAGAAAGTAAAGCAAATTATTAATTGATTCAATTATAAATATTCTGAGTTAAAAAACGTTAAGAATGAGAAAGTTTTCGGTAAAAAAAAGTTAATGAAATGAATTAATCAAATAGAAAATCAAGAAATTAAATTTGCTGAAAAATTTTGAATGACTAAAACCATACATTAATTAAAATAAATAAAATAAAAAAATGCTCAATTTGTTTTTGTAGTAATTAAATAGTAATTACCAAAAACAAATATTGGAATGGAGTTAAATATGTATTTAAATAAAATTAATTTTAATTGTAACAATGCCATATTTTCTTATAAAATCCTCTTGTTATCTTTTCAGAGATTTAAGTAAAAATATATTTAATGTTGAACAAATAAAAAAAAAAAAGTTCTTTATCTTACAGATAAGAAAAAGAAACTGCTGCGAAAGATTTAGAATCATTCTTTAAATTATTTCACAATAATATTCATAGATGATATTAAAATGAAACCAACAGCTGACCTGTCTTAATTGTAGCAGTGTTAAGTATTTAGAGTTTATTTGAATTAATTTTTTCAAAAATATTTATAAAAAATATATATATAAATAAATAAATTTTTTTATAAGTTAAAATTAGTTTATGTATAAATTAAATTTTCTCATATAATTTTTTTCAAAAAATTATAAATCAAATTTTACATAAACTAATTTTAGTTATAAATTTTTTTTTTCCTCTCAAAGAGTGTTTTTAGAAAAGTTTCATAACAACACGTCATTATCATATAATTAACATTTTTTTGGAGTTTGGATTAAAGACTCAACCATTTCTCCCGAATGGTTGAGAGAAAATCAACCCTTAAACAGAATTATTTGTCTCGTTTATTCGTTCAAGCAAAATTATTATCTTAAATAAAAAGAAATAGAATTATTTGTATAGTTGTTTGTGGTGGAATTCGTTTACGAGTTCTTTTCACTTGAACTGGCACGCAATTGTTTCAATTTAGAGAAGAATGATGTATACAATTAATATTATTTTTGAAAATCTCTTCATAGTGACAAAAAATTATATTTTTTATGAGATGAATCTCACCAATAATAACATAGATAAATAATTATGTTGATCTTAATGTGAATGATTTTATGTGATGATGAGCATTTTTTGTCAAATGATTATGTGTAGTCAATCATGGATTTGGTCCATCTTTTAACTTTAAACCCCTATGGATGATATATTATTTACAAAATATTGTGAATTATTTGTAAACATCAAAGGGAATGAGATTTTATTAAAGCTAATTAAAATAAATAGATAATGGTAACCTAACATTTATGATTGAAGATCTCATGAAGAAGGTTCAATGGGAAAACAAGTCACTTGTTAGTTCTATTGGCACTAAAATTAATTTTGTAATCTCTTTCCATGGTGTGAAAAAGTGCTAAAGTTGCATTAATGAGAGAATAATCTTTATAGTTGAACTTTATATATTATGAGAAAGTTTAACCTCTTATAAAGATTTTAATGATTTTCATATCTCTTATGAATGATATATGATTTGCAACATACACATAATGAAATCACTTATATATGAGTATCAAGTGAGGCAACTTGCATGAAATCTTGATAAGATGTTTAGAGCACTCATAAATATCAAGTGCGTGCATGGCCTGAAAGTGCAATGCAATGATTAACGGCAAGATTTTGGGGTGTATTGTAATTGGTTTACCTCTAATACACACCAAATGTTTTGGATCTAATAACTTGCTATACTCATTATACTGTGTATTAAGTTTTATCAATATAAGTTTAGTTCAATAGCTTGCTACAGGTTCAATTTATTACATCATACATGAGAACCCATAATGTTTTTAAAAACTTTTGAAATATGTATGGAATTGTTGTACAGTTTGAGATATTTCAAAAGATTAATTAATTTGTGAAATTATTTTATTAATTACCGATATTAAATCCTAATTAATATCTATTTTAATGAGTTATAATAATTTGATCGTTGTAATTTTAATTAATCTTAATGATCAAACGTTTCAAAATTAATTGATTTTAATTATCGTGATTAATTAAAGTCACAACGGATTCAATTGGAGTGGATGTATTGAACAATGCTCTTTTCTCTGTTATCTCTTTTTTTTGTTAAAAACTTGTTAGTTCTGTATTTCTAGTCGATCATATTGTGTCTTAAAAGACAATGCATTGCACACTTTAGGAATTTTAAATTAATTTATGTTCTCAGTATCATGGACTTACATGAAAGTCTGTAAATAAGTTTAGGGGTTTAGATAAATTATTTAGGATAATACGTTGCACGCTTTAGAAATTCTGATTAATTTGTGTTTTCAGCATCTATGAATTTACGTGAAAATATATAGATAAATCCTTTATGATAGTGTCTCAGTAAATTAATTTGTATTCTCAGTATCCATAGGCAACAAAGTTTGTGTTTGATGTTATGGATAATCTATTACATCAAAATTGATTTACATGACAATTATCTAATTATGTAGTGAAAGGAAGGATAAGTTTGTACTATATATATAGAGATATATAGAGAGAGAGAAAGAAAGAAAGAGAAGTATGTTGTAGAGATAGAAAGAAAAGAAAAAGAACTAATCACGTCAATAACCACAAAGACATGCATTTGCGTTGGAACTTGGCAGTGTATTGGAAAGTAGATCGAAAATGAGTAAAACAAGCACAGACTAATTTATTTTCAAAGTGTTCCAAACACAATGAACCAAAAATAAAAGAAGTTTTCCTCATCGAACCCATATTTTATCATCCAACTTTGAAGTCTCAATTAAAAGCGAATACGATAGCTAGTAAGCGATAGAGTCTGCTCTGGTGAGGCATCGGTAACCAATGTAAAGACCAGCAGCAAGAAAGGGAACAACAAAGTCATAAAATGCGAGGGACTTGGACCTTCCATCCTCTTTGATCACATAGGCACTCATCTCTTTGGTGTTAGATTCCTTGTCCACAACATCCTTCAAATCTACATCTTTAACTATGGCACCTTGGAGAACACCAACTTGGTACTTTAGGACCACGTTTTGCGCTGCTTTGCTATGTCCAATAGCATCAAACTCCTTTGTCGCATCATTCCCACCTACCTCTAAAATCACTTCTTCCCCTCCCGGGTGTTCCTCCAAGAACTTTGTCACGTCCAACACCTACACAACTTAAAACAATCAATCAACACCTTCAAATCATATATTAATCTTCTCATTCATAATAATCATTTACAACTTATGCATATTACTCAATTAAGAGAATTAAAATCTTTTTTTCCAATGATATCGAATTTAATACCAAGAGAATTTATAACAACTCATAGACCTTAGTAACAACTAGACTTTCCGGTATATGAGTTAGACTTATACTAAATGATATATTTATTAACTATAAAAAAAAATTGTGATGAAATAATGTATATATAATTAAGAAGGTACTACGTACTCTGCCATTGATGACCACCCAGCAGTCTTTGTTGGATTTGTGTTGGGAAACCTGTGAGAGAGTGAAAACCCTTCGTTCTGCCATGCTTCCTAATCAATGAGAATTTTGAGCGTAGTTCCTATGACAAGAATAAACAATGTTGTAGCTTGAAACAATATGATAGATAAGTTGCCCAAATTTATAAAAGGGGTGGTAGATAAGTTGCACTTTCAGTTACTACCACGTTTTTTTCTTCCTCCTAACAAAAGTTGTCAACTACCAGTCCACCACGTCGATAGGAAGATCGAACTGGCACCATTTATAATTATTTATTCCATATCATCGTCGTCTAGAAAATCGATTTCGAACATATAAACTGATTTCTATTTAATTAATTTACTTCCCATACAATTTCATTGTATATTTTAAAAGATTCAGAGTTTTATTTTGTTTTTTAATTCATATGATGATGTTTGTGGTGGAATTCATTTACGAGTTCTTTTCACTTGAACTACACGCAATTGTTTCAATTTAAGTATTTACGATTTAAGAAGACAAGAGAAGGTAACTAATAGACATTTGTTTCCAGACTTTCATTAACGAATATTAAGCAATAATGTTCATGTACGTAAATACTCAAATGAACAATCAATATATTGGCAATACAAATCATAGTTCATTTCACATAAAGATCCAATTACAATATCAGGATTAAACTAACTACGAATTGAAACTAATTACACTAATCCTAAGAAAAACAAGAAAATGTGGCCAAGAAGTGGTCATACCCAGCAGCAATCTCATGCACGGATGCCATATGATAGGCAGAAAGTGCTTACAAAAGTGCGAGTATGAAATTTTCGACCCCTTTGAAGGAACAAGCTTCTCGTATTTATAGAGTTTAATCGAGAGCGGTTAATCTTGTACAAGTACGTCGTGGGTGTGCAACTGCTATCCACTATGCTTAATGACGTGTAATTTCTCAACTGTTCTCCCACGTTCCTCAACTCTGCTCTTCAACCCTTCGACCAAACAACTACCTTAGTGTAACCACACAACCGCTCAAAAATCGCCAATAACTCCTTTTTTGCATTTCTCGATCAGTCCTCAAACAGGTATGCTTACGATTTCTGATATCCGTTTTTTGGTACCTCGTCCAACCTCGTCGTTTTTTTCGAGAATTTTTCAAATGCTTTTCGACTAGCCGTAACAATAGTAATGCATGATGAATAAATCATTGTTGTGCCATAAAGTGATAATTAATAGCACATCACTATTTTGTTGACTTAATGCCTCCGTTTTTTTTTTATAGTCATTTTGTCAGAATTTGTTATTTTTTTTTCATTGTCATTTTACTAAAATTAATGACTTATTAATTTTTTTTTCTTTATTTTTACCCTTGATAATTAATACATGTTTACCGAACAATGTATGTATTTATTTTTAATGTTTACTTATTTTTTCTCCAACTACCCATATAAAGTTAATGTGCATTTATAAAAGCAATATGTTCCCAACAAAATACTATAAAAAAATAATATAACCATTAATTAATGGACATGTATAATTAAATACAGTAGGTTACAGTTCACGTGTAATCAATGCATTAATAATTAATGGAGTAGATTGCAGTTCAACAGTCTCAAAAATGTAAAAAAAAATGGTAAAATAAGAAAGTAAGTAATAAATATTTTTATAAAATATCAGTGATTTCCTTAAGTCCCGTGCAAAATCTTAAACGACTATGAAAAAAAACGGAAGGAGTAAATGTAAATAGATTAACTTATGATAGAAAATTAGATACTCATAATTGATGTCAGACAATAACTGCAGACACAATACGAGCATAGATGATTGAGTGTCGTACAATTTTTTGTTCTTCGTTGTAAATATTTTTTATCATTGGAATTATTAGGTGTGAAGTTCAAGCTTACTCCTATTACTACTAAGTACTAACCGATATTCAAAAGTTTTGCTCATTTTTATTTCTTTAAATTCTGAAATGTTAGTATAATTATTATTCTCTATTCATTTCAACTACCTTATGTTGGCATGAGTATCAAGAGCAAATAGTTAAGGATCAAATCTTCACTATTGTGAACACAGAAACTAAATACTCCTTGATACTGGAAAAAAATTGATTTTTGTTTTTTTTTTTAAATTTTATTTTCCTCTTAAACGACCCATTAGTACTATTTAACTCCAGGCTCATCATATATACACCTCTTTTTTTTTTAATAAGTACACCTCCTTTATTTTTTTTTAAATTTATAAAATATTGTTTTTTTTTTAATTTTCTAATTTTACACCTCCAACTTTCAATTTGCTACTTTCTTCTTTTTTTTCACACACTTTTTTTTTATAGTTTTTACATGCTACCAAAATAGGTGTGATGAAAGAAAAGTAAGGGAGTACATGTAAAAATTGAAAAAAGGAGGGAAGATGTGTGAAAAAAAAGTACTAAATTAAATATTGTAGATGTAAACTTAAAAAATAAAAATTAAAAAATTAAAAATATTTTAAAATTTTAATTATTTTTTTAAAAAAGGAGGTGTACTTATAAACAAAAAGAGGTGTATATATCATGAATCTTAACTCGATCATAATAGAACAAGATGGTCTACAAGAGAGAGACGGAGACAAAATGTGTAAAGGCCTAGAAATGAGAATGGAAAGGATGGCCCAGTGGGAATTGGGCTCAACAAAAAATAGCCCAATGCAGAACTCCAGGGACGCAGCTGAATGTGACCTTGTAGTTAGTTTAGTTGATAGTTTTTTGTTTTTTTAAGTATACAACCAGTATTTTTTTAGTCATTATTTTAGTCCTAAAGAATACAGGCTAAATATTTATTTTTTATAATTAAATGTATATAATAAATATTTATTATTGAATATATAAATCATATTGTAATTAAGAGTCACAATGTAAATACTTTTAATGTTTAAACTACATTTTAAATTTAAAATAAATACTTTGTATTAGGATACAATTATTTAAAATTATTAATTTCTAGTTTTTTTGAATATATAAATTATTTTTTTGAATATATAAATTATATTATAATTAAAATTCATAACAAATAAATACTTTTAACATATAAATTATATTTATAAATATAAAAAAAAAGTATATTTTGATATAAGATTATTTTTAATTACTAATAATTTTTAAAAATACTAAAATCCAATTTAAAAATAAAGATAAAACAATAAAATGAACATAAGGCTTAAGAGGTTAAATACATTCTTTCTTGATTATTGTCGTTGGAAGAATAATTTTCTCTTTTCTCCTCAAAACATATGGACAGTCTTGACAAATGTAGTTTGTTCACCTAAATATCATCCATTAAATAGCATCTCATGTCATATGAGATTTTATTCATTATGTATTGTGCTGTATAGGACTTTATCCTAGCAAAATGTCATTAAAGTTTAAACATATGTTCAACACATTAATGTCATTATTTTGAACCACAATCCCAAAAAAAAAGGCATGTTAAATCCATATGTTTTGTGATGCAATAATTTTAAGCATGATCCTAGGTTGGTCATGATCACCACGACCAAATTGTCTTTTTTATGTTATTGGAAAAAAATCTATTATCAATGCAAACAATTGGTGAAACTTAACATACTTAGAAAATTACGAGTATTTTCCATTTGCAACATGACTGATGGTGCAAGCATTACGATAGTTAGGTCGTTGAATCTCATGATTTTAAACATGAAAAATTCTTGACAAAATTATGTTTGGAGCCACTAATTTTGTTTTATTTATGGGTTTATTGATTTGGTTTTTACTAATGTGTAATCTATGTATTATCTTAGTCCATGGTTTATGTTGTTGGGTGGTTTGATCTTCATTGTATTTAATTTAATTGGTTTATGACTTGTCATTTCATTTTCTTTCTTGTTTGTTGATTCATGATTTTATTGTAACAGTGTTTGTTAATTTTCCTCTTCTTAAAATTGTTGATGTAGTTCAATTAATTTTTAATTTTTAAACGCTTATATTATAGAGAGCTTAAATTTAAGCAATCTGATTTTCCACCTAAACATACTTCAACAGGTGTTTTTTTAAAAAAAAAAAAAAAAAAAAAAGGTTTTCTTTTACAAAACACATTCTTATCTTTAAGAGATTATTGATAGGAGACTTCCTTTTACTTTCGTGGGCCTCCAAATCGCATAGCCTATTTAATTATTAGGTGCTTAAGTTCCCAAGAGTTTGAGTTAGACTTTTTGTTTGGCCCAAACTGTGAGACTGAAAACTCTTGTGGGAAAAAAATCCATTAATGTAATAAAGTGTCTCATTAAGATTATAAGCAGCTGTTTCCATGTGCAATAACGTGTCTCACTCTCAGTACACAGCACACACATTATTCAATGGAGACTTCAACTTGTCTTGTTCTCGTGCCAATACTACTGGTCTACTATGGAACTGCGTGCTGTAAGATATTGTTGGAAAGAAAGTAAAGTTTCACTTTTAAATAAAAGGATGTCCATTGATAAAAACATCTTTTGGATGATATCTAAAAATAAAATCCTGATAACTTAAATCCAAAATGAAAAATATTTTATCAGTGTGAAAACAGTCTACTTAACATCTATAATCAGTTTATTCAATCTATTATAGTTGAGTTCAGTTTTTCATATTTGATCAATTATAAATGTATATAAGATTGATTCAGTTTTGTAATATATAATAATAATCAGTTTATTGAACCTATTAAAGTCTTTATGAATATTTGACGCGAAATTAATTATAAGAAAAATATTCTACCAAAGGCAAGGAAATTCAGTCAATACAAGAGCATATTTGGGTTGGGTGTTCTCAAAAAACGGCCATTCAACGTTAATTTGGAAACGTTCGTTCTGGAACTTCCAATTACTTTGTCAAATCCAATAATGCCATAGTCATTACATTTACCAAAAAAAGCTAGGAATTAAGCACTTATTTGGTAAGAAACAAGATGCATACCCATCCAACATGATTGCCAATAGCCTTGCCCACGCTTGACGTAATCGTCCATTCCATTACTTTAAACAAAAATAGAAATAGTGCATACTTTATACAATTTATTCGAAAATTAGAAAGTGAGAAAAGATAAATGAATTGATAAATATTTCAAAATTTTATTGTAAAAATACTACAACTGAAACAAAAATGCACTTTCATTATCATTACAGGTCACTACTAATGCCAGTGTGCCTTTCTTTATTGTCAGAAGCCAACAAATCCAACCATTTCCTACCTGGTCACACATGGGTTTACAAACTTCTAGGGAAAATTTTATAATATTAAATAACACGCCAGTAACTTTATTTTTTACAGACAGACACATCTCTCTCTTTCTCTGTGCGCGTGTTCCGTTCGGTGTATCATGTTCCCTAAAGAAAATTAAAAAAAAAAAACGATGAAAAATGGAAGATACAGTGTAATGAAGCATTGATACATACAAAAAACGAACACCCTTGACCTTGAGATCGATTTGTATTCTATCTAAATCTAAACCAGGAAAGCAATCGAATCTACTCCTCCCTCTGGTAAATGATTGGAAAGTCAAAGGAAGGCACGTTTAATTTGTTGTCAGAGAAGAAGTTGTAGCATTAAAGAATCTCTTCAAATTAACTCATAATTGCTATAGAAGCAGGACTATTATCAACCGTCTGATTCTGATACCCACTTTGATCTTCATTCTGATCCGTGTTCTCTCTCTCAGCATCTTCAGAAGATGACTCATCCATGTGTTGTTGTTGTTGTTGTTGTCTCTCTTCTTGACTCTCCATGATATGCAACAACAACTCCTCAGGCTTCAACTCATTCCCAGAACTATTATTATTAGTATCACAACCACCAGACTCATCCACCTTCTTAGGCCTTTTACTATACAAAGCCTCGAGATGGTGGTAATAAGGACACGTTTTGGAATCCTGAGGCTTCCTCTTGTTCTTCTCCTTCATCCTCTTGAAGTACTTGTTTATGTTCTCCCATTTCTCCTTACATCTCTTGGCACTGCGATCATAGCCAAGACTTTTCATTGCCAAAGATATCTCCTCCCAAAGAGGCCCCTTAGACCCATTATTATTAGTAGTAGAATTATTATCATTATTATTATTATTATTCCCTTGTGACTGCACCTCTAGCTGTGTCCTCAACCTTATCAAAGCCTCAACTTCATCCTTAGGCCACCTTGAAGCAGTCACATGCACCAAACTCCCCACAGCAACATTTCCACATTCTTGATGCTTATCCATATGAGTCACATCATTCCCATTTTGTTGCATGTCCTTGTTTGGAACCTGAATTTTGTGGAGCAACTGCACCGTGCCTTGTGCTTCTGCGAACTTTCTAAGAAACGCAAGCACTGCTTCATCTTTTGCCGCAGCAATGGACCTTTCCTGAGCCAGAAGCTCACGCTCTCTCTTAATCCTTGCCAACTCCTCCTTCTTCCACGCTTCCTCCCTGGCCAGTCTTTCCCTCTCGCACTTGTCCAACACCTCCATGAAATTCTTCTGCAGCACCTCTTGCTTCTCTATCACTTCCCTCATCAACGCCTCCAAGAACTGCGTCATCTTCATCTTCCTACTCTTGTTGTTCCAAGTGGTGGAACTAGAGTGCTCCCCCGCGTGTGCCTCTCGAATAACAACATGAACATCGTTGTTGTCGGGCTGGGGAAGTGAGTGGTCTAAAGCTTCCAATTGCTCGAAAAATCGATAGGTTTTGGCAGCGTTGGATTTGCCGCAACGCCCTTCCTTGGTCCTCCTATGGTACTTATAAATGTTCTCGAATTTCTCCTTGCACTTCTTGGCACTACGATGATATCCTACTTCCTCTAGTTTCCTGAATATGTTGTTAATTCAATTGTTGAATTGAAGTAAAGTAAAGAAAAATTGTAGATTTATACAGAATGCAAGAGTAATTGAAAAGAAAAAAAGGAAGGTAATTAGTAATTACCTTGAGACTTGTTCCCAGAGAGGGGCTTTGGGGGTTGAATCTCTGAAAGCAAGGTCCATGTCTGACCTTATCTTGAGCAAGGCCATTGTCTCCTCCCGAGGCCAGCGGTGGACGGGGGAATTCCGGTGAGCGTCTTCTTGGGGATTGGAGGCGTCGGAGCGCGGCGCGTTGTCTGGTAAAGTTGAGATTTGCAACATGGATTTCACCCGAGTTACAGCTAAAGTGAGGGGAAAGGGTAATTGCCTTGTGTTGAAATTTGAAGAAGGCCTTGTACTTACTTCTACGTTCTACCATACCATTATTGTCATTTATTTACATTTTCAAAGGTGAATGACTATGAGATATCCATATTCCCACTTGTCTAAGTTTGACAAGTGCGGTCAATATTTGTGGGCTTTTTATCCTGGCCCTGGATGGGGAAGAAAAGGAACGAAGGCCCACAAAGCCCACATTCTTGTTTTGTACGTTTCTGCCTCTCCGCTCTCCGCTGGCTTTGCCCCACACCACACACCGCATTTTCTTTCGCCTGTCGCTGAAAAACTAAAATATCCCTTCCGTCAATTAGCCCACAATTGCATTTGCCTCTCATCTCACCTACAACCAACAATAATCCTTTCAATTTCAATTTCAATTTTCCTTCTTCTTTTTTTTAAATATCCCAGTTTATATGACTTTACTCAAAACAACTTTCACTTCGTTAAATAACCAATTATTAAAAAAAATTATGTTCCTATATAGCTAAACCATTTGAATTAAATTAAGCAAGTCCTTAGCCTTATCAAATAGCGTGAAAGAGAAGCTTATTGGCCTAAGGTCAAGAATTTAGCAAGTAGAGATGTGAGATATTTGAGATGGGAATGGAAAGGGGAGTGTCGTTGTCGTTGTCGTTATCGTTGTCGTTATCTAAGAGCATACTATTAGATAGTCTAATTTATCGGCGTGGTGTGCTTTTTAATTTTAACCCCTTCTTATTTGGTTGGTTGAGTAACTTTGAGGATGGTTACGGTGGAAAACGACAGCATTTGAGTTACGTAAACCGTTCCAACACTCCTCACGCCACCTCCACTCTCGTCCTTTTCTTATACTCTTTCATTTTATCTTTATCACCTCTTTTTTTCTTTCCCCCTTTTCAACCATTTTACTCCGACTACACATATAACCTATTATCCGATAACACAATATATTAACCAAAATTTCAATTATCATGCTTACACATATATGATCTCATAATTATACAAGTTTAATTTTACCATTATACAGGACTAGCTTAAGGGTGAACCCAACAAAATTCTTGCTTTAATTCCCCTTCAAAAAATATATATTTTTATATTTTAAAAGTCACTTTTTTATTTTTAAAATTCAATGTATCTCTAAAAAATATATAAATATAATTATTTTTCAAGAATTATCTCTAAAATATTTTTATTTTTTCATCAAAAGATGTTATTATTAATCTTTTTTTAAAAAATCTCACTTTAAAATTATTTTAAGCCTAATAATATATTGGACCAACTCTTTTATTAAATTTTAATTTTTATTCGCTAAATTTTATGATATTAACTGCTTTCCATTTCAAAATTTTAGTTCTTTTAAAATATTAACACATGTTTATACTAAGTGTAAATGAGTGATTAAGACCACTTTAAATGAGATGTTAATGTTATTTTGAGTGAAATTTGTATTAAAAATTAACACTAATAATGAAAGGGCCGTATAAAAGAAAGTGGTTGGGAATATAGTAGAAATTTGCAGATTAATAAATGAGGATAATTTAGTTTTAATGCGCACGAATGGAATATTTCTTTATCTATATATAAAATACTAGAAAAATCAAAGTTTTGGAATGAAGGAAGTAATAAAAATTTATACCGGTTATAACCTTTAAAGTAGGTATTATCTAAGTTAATAAATTTATTAAATATTTTAAATTGTGATATTTTTTTTTGGTAAAGATAGGAAAGATTATAAAGATAGTTGCAGTGAGGATTGAACATAAGTCCTCATGTTTCTAACTACCATAATCCCTTCCCACCCAATTACTATACTAATCCTAATCTTGATAAATTGTGATTAGATGAATATAAAAAAATTCATTATTTTACATTTTATTGCGCCATAACACATTTAACTCACAAACCACAAAGTTTGGGTCCAGTGAAAATTAACACATAAGAATGTAAGAATGTGGGCATCTAAGAGTTGATCCATTTAACTTGCTAGTTAAACAAGTTTAGTTTGCGGATCAATCTTTTAAACTCGCATAAACTCACGTAACACGTAAAATAAATTTTAATTTATTTAAATACTTTTAATTATTTTTATAAAATAAATTTTATTTTAAACAATTATCTTCTTCATCACTTCCTCTTTTTTTTTTATAAAAATTTTCTAGTGCTTTGTCTCTATAATTATTTTTTAATTATTTTTTTAATTTTTTCTCTCTAATAATTAAGATACTCGCAAATTCATCTTTATTATTTTTTGAATCATATATTTTTCATTATTAACTTTAATTTTTTTTAAAACCCTAATCTCTTACCTTATCTTTAATATTATATACATTGGGTATAAGGTTGTGAATTTTCTAAAGACATCATTTCTAAAGATATGACACGTTAATTTTACGATGAATTATTGATTACATACAATATATATTTTGTAATTATTATTTTAAAAATTGTTCTATCTAATTCTTCAAATATACTTTTAAAAAATACTTTATAAAAAAAATATTTTCACCCTTGTGGAAAATACATACTTTTACTCTTCGAAACAGTAATTTCTAAAAATATATTTTTATTCTTAAATATACTTTTGTATTTTTCGAGAGACTAAAAATATACTTTTAAAAAGTACTTTTAAAGAGTAAAAATATTTATTTTTTGAAATTTTTTCTCCCAAAAGTATATTTTTATTTTTTAGAATGTACTTTCTGAAAGTATTCTTTGAAAGTATTTTTCATAAATATATTCATGCTCTTCTAATTTGAAGGTGAGTGTGAAAATATACTTTTGAAAAGTACTTTACGAAAACTAAAAAATATACTTATGTGAAGTATTTTTTGAAAGAGTAGATTTATTTTCACACGAAAAGTAATTTCCAAAAATATATTTTCTGTTTTCCAAAAAATATTTTTCAAAAATATATATATTTTTCAAAAATATATATATTTTTCATTTCTAAAAAGTCATTTAAAAAAAAGGCAATTTAGGAAATAAATAAAAAAATAAAGAAAATGTATTTACCAAAAGCCTAAAATTAAAACAATTTCTAATTACCAAAGGGTAAATAACTTACATAAAAAAAAGTTATTGAACTAAAGTGAAATAAACTACTAAATTGTTGGGGTGGCAAAACGGGTCAGCCTGACCCGTTTTGGCCTGGCCTGCCAATAGCCCGCCAAAAATAGGTCGGGTCGGGCCAGCCCGTCAATGAAAAATGGGTTGAAAACGCTGACCTGCCTCGCCTAAGGACGGGCTGGCCCGCCAGCCCGCATACCACAAAAAGAAATTGCAAAAAAAAATAGAAAAAAAAATATTTTATGATCAAATATAAAAAATTGCTACAAATAAATAAATATAACCAAATGAAATTAAAAATGCATACATATTGCACATAATATATGTTCAATAAAAATAAATTACAAACTTAGAACAAAATCAAATAGAAATTAGTCCACTTACACCAAAATCAAAACCAAATTATAAACATACAAATTACTAATAATCTAAATTTTTTGATAATTCACAAAACAAGTTCATTACTTATGCAAACAATTGAAGCCCAATTACTTTTGCGGGTTGACGGGTTGTGACGGGTCAGCCCACCATTTGGCCCCACGGTTTGGGAGGTTTGGTGAGTTGAAATGATGGGTCCAGCCCGTCAATTTTTGGCGACCAACAAGCCAGCCCGCAGATCACAACCCATTTTGTCATCCCTACTAAATTTTGAAGTTCAAATGACAATTGATTGATCTTCCTGTGAGTATGTACATATACAATACAATGTCACAACATGTATGTTTTATTTTTTTTAAGTAACTATATTTTTTATGATATATGTATATATCAAATTCATTTAAAATTTATTAATAAGTTGGGTTGGATTTTCAACACTAAAATTCAATAATTAACCCAAAGAATATAAAATTTATTTGGGTTAATTTTTACCCCGAACACTAAGAATATTAGAGCCTAAAACTATTTAGGTTGAATAGGGTAGGGTTTAGCACATTTTACGATCTGTTTTTCACAAAATGGGAGCTAGTGCCCATTTAAACGTGAAAGACAGGCCCTTGGGCCTCTTCATTTATAGTCTCTGGATCGCATATACTGGATTTTAAGGAGGCAGATAGTAAATTTCTATTCTGTTTTTCTCATCATATTAAAGAGGACTAATCACATATGATTAAACTATCTTATTAATTAGTTGAAAACCCGATATTTATAATTCATAAATTATGAATTGAGAAGCTAAAAACTCAGATTATCTGAATGGATTAAAAATATTTGATAAAATTAGTTGATAAGGTATAAATTAGGCTAGAAACTTATAAGGTAGCTTATTTTATAAATTATTTAAAGTAATTTATGAAAATAAGTTAAAAGCTACAAAAATAAGTGTTGTACCAAAAAAAATATATTTTTAGTAAAATTATTATTTAATTTTTGTCAAACAAATTCTTAATATATATTCTAAAACATTTGATTACTAAAATAAAAATTAAAAAGTATTTATCACATCAAAAGTAATAAAATACGTAATATTTATTTTTTTCATAAATAAAAATACTTAATAAAATATGTTTAGCAATCAGTTTCTATGGCTAAAATATTGTTTAAAATTCTCCTTTTCTCATATATTTGTCTTTTTCAGGAATTATACATATGTTAAACAAATTACCAAAAAAAATATGTTAAACAAGTATTAATTACACAAACATTATAATATACTTTTTTTTTACAAAATTGCATTTACTAAAAAAGTTAAAATGTGATTATGCATCATTCAAATATTTAATCAAGATACTAAGGGCATCTCTAATGGAAGCAATTCATTTGAGTTGCTTCATGCATTGCAAAATGAATAAAAGTGGTCCTGAATGTGTTATATCAGTATTAAGCAACTCAAACACAAATTTACTCCGATGATAAGAAACTTTAAGAAATTCAACTTTTAAATTTTTTTTCTAATCATTTATGAACCAATTTTAAATTTTTATTAAAAAGAGTAATTGCACTACAATGAAAAAAAAATTACGAGAAAAAATACACAATAAGTAGATATTAAAAATAAAATAAAATAATAATAAATACATAGACATTATACGAAATTAATTTTCATCATTATTATTCCGAAATGTTCCTAAATATGTTCAATAAGATTTGTTTGAAATCTGGTAAGGAACGGTTGCTTGAAGAAGCAACTTTCTCTCCTCTTCAAGCAACTC